CCACTCGCTGCCTGCGAGTGTCTTAGGTCTTCGGCACAGCCCAGCGCCCGGCGTGCAGCCATCGCTCGGTCTCGGTAGGATTTGCACCGGGCCCCAAGCTTGGAGAGCAGCCTTGCTCCTTGGCCTCCTCCGTATCCCCAGCACATGGCTGGGGTCTGGACAGTCACTCAGCGGGGCTTGGGATTTTGATATCGGGGAGAAGGTGGGTTATTCTGGTAATGAAATATGTCCGTCCTGGAAATCTCTGTCTCCTGCCAGCCTGAGGGCTGGGAGCAGGACCCATGCCTCTGGGTAGTACTGCCGAAGGTTGGGGCTGGGGGAGCAGTGTGGCCTGGGCTCTTGGGGGAATGGTGATCAACAGGGCTTTGAGCAGATGGACTAGAGCTGCGGCAGGAGGGGCCAGACCAGGAACGGCTAACGTTGGAGAGGTGAAAAGGGCCTGGGGGATGCATCCTGCAGAAATGCATGGGCTTTCAGAGATCTGTACTAGGAGAAAGTTGGATCCAGCCCGTGGTGAGAATAATTAATGCCAGCCTCAGGAGTTAGGCCTTTGATGGCTGGAGAAGAGAGGAAGCAGGGCCTATAGAATTGGAAAAGGTGTCAGGGTTCTAGTGCAAAAGAGCACAACAAAGCCAAGGAAGCCCCCTCCCAGCACACCGGGGTTTTGGGGGGGCGGGCAGCTGTCAGTCCTGACAGCCAGGTCCTAGCCCACCTCTGGCCAACCTGCCTGCAACGGCTCGGAGCCCAGCCAGAGCTTGTCCTGCCGGAGCTTGTCCTGCTTGATCCCATTATGTGACTGATTTCTGAGCTGCTCTTGGCTTGCTGGGGCACTGGGCAGAGGCTGATTTTTCACTCCCTTGCCAAGCCTGAGCTGGCAGCCCCTGGCAAGCGTCTGATGTCTCCCTGAGCAGCTCCAGCTTTAGGAATTAATTCCACTAAACAGATTGCTCTGGAAGCTTCAAGGTCATCTGGAAAGGGTAGCCTGTTCCTACATTAGGAATATAAGTCCAGGTATATGGGCTGAAAATTTCCAAGCCCATAAGAACCCCAGAACCCTAGAGGACATGAAGACTCTCAGCTGCCCAGGACAGAGGGTGATAGGTCAGATTAGCCCATTGGCTGGTTCTCTGCAGGCATTTGGGGGTGAGTAAACTTGCCCCCTGCTGTATACACTGGAGCCCACAGGATAGGCTACAGCCAGATTTAGCAGCCTGCCATCTTCTAAACAAAATTCCCAGCAAAAAGGCTGGGGTCCTCGTCTCCACTCCAGCAGGGTGGGGGCAGATCATTGCTACTGAGAGCAGTGACCTCTGGGTCTTGCTGGGCCAAGGCCCTGGCCCTCCTGGGTCTCCACCTCTCATTGGCCCACTTTCTGGCTAACAAGACCCCCAGTCCTTTGGCACCTACATCCATCCCAAGCCTCAAGATTACAGCCAGCCTGTAGGCCACCAAAGGGAAGCAAGGAGCCCTCCTAGTCCTTGAGTGAATATATAGGATGCTCCCAAGCAGCCGTCTGAGCCGGAGAAAAGCTAGGCTGGAGAGGAACCACGTCATAACCACGGGGAGGAGCGACAGAGCCAGTGATCCGTGGTTGGAGAAATGAAAGGGAAGACCCACCGGGCAGATGTCCATTTGCTCTTGCTCAGATGTAACTGGGTTAGTGCCCGAGGGGCTCCAGTCTCTTAAAGCGACAGAGGCAGCAGTGAGCAGGGAAGCGGGTAGGAAGGTATAGTGGGGAGCATGGGGGTTTTTGCCGCCGGTAGACCTGGGCTGGCCTGCAGCTCCGTATTCATTGGCCCTGTGACCTTGGCCAAGATCCCTGGCCTTGCTGAACCTTGTCTCTTTGTATCTAAAGCGGTGGTAATGTGAGCTGAGCCAAGTACGCGTGCCTAGCATCGCGCCTGATGGGGAGAAAACATTCGAAAACATTCCGTGTAGAGGAAGAAAACAGCGTGGGGCTGGCTCTGCAGCAGAGCCTAGCGGGACCTAAATTATATTCTCGGCCTGCAGCCAAGAAACCAGGGACGCCTCTTTCCGTCTCACCAGGGGGCCTGTCCCTCATCAGCCATTCCCCAGCACGCACAGCCCCTCAGAAAAGGGTTGTGTGCATTCAATAATGTGATGCGCTGAGAAAGTCACACCTTGAAGGAGTAGAATGGGGCAACTTTTGTCAACCTCAGGCCCCTGCTTGCTGCGACCGCCCACACCCTCTCCCTCCTCTTACTTCTCTGTTGGTTAAATCGGAATGTTCTAGAGTGAGCTCAAGCTGATAACCTCCCCTGGAAGAAAGGAGGCAGGAGCTCGTCGGCCCTCACATCCTGTTGCACACCACCTAGGGAAGCCCTCCCATTCTTTTCCGCCTGACTGCCAATATTGAGAAGTGTGGGCATCGAGCTGTCCAAGTTTCTCTGAAGGAGGGCCAGAGGGGGGACAGCACCCCGCCAGGAGACAAAGGTGCCTACTTATTACTGCCCCACCCGAGACTCTGCACCCAAATGGATTTCAGGCGGATCCTAAGAGTTAGGATATGCAGGTTCTAGCCCAGCTCCGTAGTAGCTGGCTGGGCACCTAGGGCCGGGGACACCGCCTGTAGGAGCCCAAATGGGTCAGTGCGTGGGGAGATCTCCCCACCGTGGATAGGTGCTCCCCCACTGCGGGATCTTACTCCACAGCAGCACAAGTGGGCCTTGCAGCCAGGTGTGGACATGTCCTCTATTATCACTATCCGTCATCCCACCGGGAAGCCAGGTCCGTGCTGGACGTCTGTCCCTGCTCTTGGCACACAGTTCCCTGGCCCGCTCACCGGTGGGTGGGGGATGGCAGCTCTGGGGAGAGAGCTGGGAGGCTCTCCCTGGGGGGTCTCTGCACACCTGACCCTGAGCAGCCTGGGCAAGGCCACTGAAACCCAGCAGTTCACACTGGAGAACAGGAAGGTCTGTAGTCTGACGAGAGGAAACCTCAGAAGGCAAGGGGAAGTCCTCATGGCAAGGGCTGACTCCGGGCCACTGCCCATGTCCTGAAGCCTCAGGGAGGGAGCCACCCTTCTGCCTGACGGATCCGATTTAGGACCTGGGCTCCCGCGTGAACATGCTTAAGGCATGCATAGATGTTAATAAGAGAGGGAATGTATACTGTTTCCTTTCGATTTTCTCCCCAGAGAGAGTAGAGCTGACCCTAAGGTCTGCTGCACCCTGGCCAGGGGAGGACAGCCTCTGTCTGCCCGAGGCCGCCGCCTCTGCCGCCTCTGGCTCCTCAGGGAGCCAGAGCTACGGTATGGAGATCTCTCCCTACCCTCCACAGATCATGCACTGCCCTGGGGTCGTGGTTCTCCTTGACTGTGGCCCCGCTGACCTTGAGCTCTGCCCAGGTCGTCTCACGGCTCCAGTGCTGGGTGCTCGTAGGTGGGGCAGAGTCCTTTGCGGGGCTCCTCGCAGAAGCCCTGGATGGGGCTCAGTGGAACCAGCTTGACAACCATTTGGAGATTCTTCCTTTAGAGCAGATTTCCCCAAAGTGACCTGACTGGGGTTCTCCAAACACTCTGCACATTATATCCCCACAGGGTCGTGTCCCTCTTGGAGCCGCTAGGAGAGTGTCAGGGGTCGGTCCCCTGCCCCCCGCGTCATGACGGCATGACAGCCCAGTCTGCCGCTGAGCTCATAAGCACAGAATGTTCCTTACTGAGACCTGCATTTCTTTACTAACAATTGAGGTTACATATTTTCCATGTCTTTGTTTACACCTTTTAGAGGAGTGCTCTTCATCTGCGATCACAATTGTCTAGACTGTTCTTTAACTTTCGAGATTTTTTTTCTTTGAACAAAAGTTTTTAGTTTTTTAAATTGGATTCGTTGAACTTAAGTGTTGGGTTTTGGGGGGTTTTGGGGGGTTTTGTGTGTGTGTGTGTGTGTGTGTGTCACTTCAAAGCTCTGAAAGTCATCCTTTCAAAGAACCGACATGTTCAATTTCACTTTGTTAAGTAGTTGTCTGCTCTATCTCGGCAGACAGGAACCTGTGCAGATTTCTTCTTCTGGGCTGGACACAAGCTAGCTGACCCCCTCGCCCCCTCACTGCTTTTCAATGCGCTGTTCGATAAGGGTGCATTGGTACTGTCTGGAAGGATGTTCATCGCAGCGTGATTTATAATAGCGAAGAGAGTGGGTGCAACCTCAGTGTCTGCCCCGTGAGGGAGAGATTGAGGAAACGAGAGTCTGTCATTGGATCGAACCCATCAGTCATAGGGATGCACGACTGGGAAACACGGTTATGGTAAAATATTTGGGGACCAACGCCTACATCCTAATTAAAGCTGTGTAAAATGGGGGCACCTGGGTGGCTCAGTCGGTTAAGCGTCTGATTCTTGATTTCGGCCCAGGTCATGATCTTGGGGTCGTGAGATCCAGCCCCACGTCAGACTCCATCCTCATCGGGGACTCTGCTTCTCTCTCCCTCTGCCCCTCCCCCTGCTCACACTCTTTCTCTCTTTCTCGCTCTCTCTAAAATCAATCTTTGAAACAAATAAAACTATGGAAAATGACAGCTCTGCTTGTGGTGAGCAGGGGGCGGTGAAGGCAGGGGCTTCTTTATGGTAGGGGGAACTGCAAGCAACGAAAAAAATTCAGTTCTAATCATGACCAACAGTAATGCCACAAATAACATTTCTCTAGGTTAGAAAAGCCGTTAGATACCAGCCAGCACACGCAGGGCGGCCCATTGGGTCGGTACCGACTGGCCATCCCGATTGGTTCACTCCTGGGCGTTAAGTACTCACCTGAACCGTGTCAAATTGCCAGTTTTTTATCTTTCCAAAATGGCCCAACACGGGTCACTCTTTTGATGATCACCCCCAAGTGCAGGAAGAATTTGAACGTACTCTGTGTGCCCAGCCCGATGGCGATCCATGCCCGCCTCCCAGAAACCTGCGGGAACTCGAGGACAGGTAAGAGCCGAGAGCTGCAGGGTCTCTCTGACTGTCTGTGTGTCCGTCTCCCCGATGCCTGCAGGCCCTGATCCTTCATCAGCTGGGCCGCTACAGTCTAGCAGAGAAGATCCTCCGGGATGCGGTGCAGGTGAACTCGACAGCCCATGAGGTGTGGAACGGGCTGGGCGAGGTCCTGCAAGCCCAGGGCAATGACGCAGCAGCCACCGAGTGCTTCCTGACGGCCCTGGAGCTGGAGGCCAGCAGCCCCGCCGTGCCCTTCACCATCATCCCCCGGGTGCTCTGAGCAGGCGCCTGCCAGCCTCACTGCTGCTCAGGCCCCCAGGGCCCCACCTGGGGCACCGCCCCCCCCCCCCCCCCCCCCGCCGCACCGAGGCCATGGATGGACGTGTGACTGACCACACTGCACTAACTGAACGAGCCCCAGTTCATCACTCTCCCCACACGCATTTCTGTTACTGTTTTGGCCAGCCCGATGATAGATTTTGAACCTACTGAACATTGTTCAAAATGGATTATGTGCCATATTTTGTTAGTCGACATCTGCGTTTTAAAGTCAAATGATAATGGACTTAATCAGCAAATGTAGAAGAATATATCCAAAGTTAAAATTCAGTGGCAGAGCAGATTATTTTTATCAGAGCTGTAAAGAAAAGTCTCCTTCCCCTACCACTCCTGCCCCAACCTCGGCCCGGAAACCAAATGTGAATTTTCTGTTTCCCACCTCAGTCCTAGTCCAAGCCAGGACACCAGCTGACGATTTCTTGGTTTTGTTGTCAATAATTGTACCATGTGAATTCCTGTCCTCACTTAGAGCAAAGCCTGAGTTGGAGAATGTTTCTATTTCACCAATATATGCCTGTTACAAGAGAAGGAAATAGGAGCTATTTAAGTTTAACTTTTTTATGTGAATTCAGAGTTTATTTATCGATGGAAATATGTACAAAGAAGCTTCAAATGGAATATTTACCGACATTCCTTATACATGACAGACACTTGGCTAAATGGGAAGATGATGTTAATAATAAAATGATTTTTAAATGGACCCGTGGCCTGTGTCGTTGGTGAAAGCCCACAGAGCCGAGGGGTGAAGGCTCGGTTCCTGGGGTGGGAAGCGGTGTGCGCCAGGTCAGCCGTTGGCACCGGGAGGCCCCTGACTGTCCCTTTCCCATTGCTGCCCTGTTGTCTGGATGGGAGCGGGGCACTCAGGCCCGGCAGTTAATATCTGCATTCATGAGCACAGAGGATTGGGACCGAGCATGCGACCTGAAGTGACCCAGTTAAGGGGGGAGCTGGAAGGAGAGGCTCTCACTCTCCCGCTGGACTTAAACCCGAGAGCTGAGGCTGGAACTTCAGCAGCTCTTCTGCCACCATGAGGGGTCGGCAGAGATGTGTTGGGGCCAAATGTGAAGCCAGAGACTGACACCGAAAGAGTGGATAGTAAAGCACAAGAACCAGAGAGAAGCTGAGCAGACCTCTCCAAGCCTTGCCAGGACCCCCAGGAAATGAGGGTGGGGGAGCCTGAGTTCCGATCTCGAGGCGCCCCACCCCAGCTGAGCACAACCTTCCTGACTCACCGGGCAGGCAGGCAAGGGAGCAGCTGAGGTCTGGGGAGGTAACAGTGCTAGCAAAGGCCGTGGGCAGAGCGGGTAGGCACCCCAGCCTCAGCACTGACGTTATCAGGAGGCATCTGAGGCTGTGGATGCACACAAATCATGGAATTTTCAACATGAGAGACTGGCAGGAAAGGGCAGGCGTCCAGTGGGGCAGCAGCTTACCCTGGCTGGAGGGTCAGAGCCCAGCCCTGCCATCCTGTGCAGGGAGAGACCTGCCCAGATCAGGACCAGGAAGGCCCACAAATCACGCTCCAGGCACCATACCAGCCCTTCTCTCCCAAGCCAGCCCCGTGCCAGGCCCTTCCCTCAGAAAATCCCCTGCACACCAGCCTGCGCAGGGCACTGGTCATATCTCCTGTCTCCCTGCCCACCATCCAGCCCCTCCACAGTGTCGCACTCCCTCCGCAGCTCTCCAGCCACATGGCTCAAAGATGAGCACATGGGCCCAGCCTTGCCAGCCGGCCCCCAATTTCAGTGGTTCAGGTTTGGGCATGTGGTTCAAGCTTGGCCAATGGGAACCCCCACCCCCTGCCCCAGGTCTTGTGTTATGGAAATATCAGGAAAAAAAACTCTCTTTCTGTTGGGTTTGCTGTCCTGATAGGATGCAGCCTGGGGTTGCTGCTGGCTACAGCCACTGTGTAGGGCGACCTGCCTGAGCATGAGGCCAACTCAGGAAAAGAACATGAGGAGAGAGACCGGATCCCAGAGCCCTAGCTGGAGCATTGGAGCCCCAGACTTTTCCCTGTTGTGTTTGAGACAGTAGAGCAGGTTTCTGGGAGGCACCGTCACCCCACCCGTTCGGGAACTCTCCCCAGGCCCCTCGATCCTCTTCCTGATTCGCACCTGCTCCCCACCCCACATTTTACCTCTCAGCGGGTCTTGTCATTTCTGCCCGATCACATCTCCAATCTCCCCACGGCCCCGGCAGCCAACAGCCCCACCGCCTCTGACCGGACCACCGCAGGGTCCTCTCTGCCTCTACCTTGACCCCTGCAATCCTCAGGGCGGCCCTGACGGTCCTTTGTAAGGTGAGGATTGGATCAGGCCTCTGCCCCCTCAACCCGCTCTGTGGCTTCCCCAGCTCGCTCCTGGAGCCAGGCTCCGTGCTCCCCAGAATCTGCAGAGCCTGGCCCTGCTAGGCCCTCCTCCTCCCGGCAGCCTCTCCCCATTCCAGCCCTGCTCCGGGTCCTCTAGCCTGCAGGGCTTTCCCAACCAAGGGTCCCGATGAATGAATGGAGGCATTCATTCATTCATTAAGAGACCAGGGAGCAGAAGCTGAGTGGGTAAGAAAAGGGATTGAGACCCAGACCTGAGGGATGAACCTTTGAAAGGTGCCCTAGGCTGTGCCCTAGGCTGCCCAGCAGAGGCGGTTTGGGGCAGCGAGTTGTGGGAGACGCCATGTTTGATTTATTCCCCTTTCCTGGTCTTAGTCTCCCCATCTGTAAAATGTATTCATTCATTCATCCATCCATCCATCCATCCATCCAAGAGTGCTTACAACACCAGACACTTACTGTAGGCACCGAGGGCCAGCAGTACATATAAACAGGGCTTACATTTTTGTGGAAGACAATAGAGAAATACATAACGCAGCATGTGTGCCGTATATACACAGTGATACACATATGCAGGGGCACAAGGGGGCATCGGAGTCACGATTTTACAGACGTGGTTAGAAAAGTCTCCCATAGGGACGCCTGCGTGGCTCAGTTGGTAAACTGTCCAACGCTTGATTTCGGCTCAGGTCATGATCTCAGGGTCCTGGGATCGAGCCCCACATGGGGCTCCATGCTCAGCAGAGAGTCTGCCTGGGATTCTCTCTGTCCCTCTCCCTCTACCCCTCCCTGCCATGCACATACATGCTCTCGCAAATCTTAAGAAAGAAAGAAAGAAAAACGAAAAGGCTCTGATAAGGCACCATTTGGCCAGAACAAGCCAGGTGGATCTGTGGGGGAAAGGCGCCCCAGGAAGCAGGAACAGCAAGTGCAAAGGCTCAGAGGCAGGAGGGGGCCAGGGTGGTAAAGGAGGCGAGAACAAGAAGATGAGCCAGAGAGTTTCACAGGGGCCAGACCACGTCGGGTCCTGTGGTCCATATTGAGGGTGTACATTCGCTTCCTGTGGCTGCTATAAAAAATTCAAAAGTTACCACAAACTTAGTGGCTTAAAACAACACACACTTATTCTTTTACAGTTTCAGAGCTCTGTGTTGGCAGGGCTGTGTTCTTCCTGGAGGCTCAAGAAGAGAGTCTGCTTCTAGAGGCTGCCCGAATTCTTTGGCTCACGGCCCCACATGACACCACCTTTTCTCCCTCGGCTAGCATTGTCACATCACCTTCTACCTTCGGTCCTTCTTCCTGCCTCTCAGAGGGAGGGACAGTGGGCCCGCCTGGACCATCCAGGATAATCTTCCCTCTCCAAGCCCTTTGTGTAATCTCATCTTTGAAGTCCCTTTTGCTCTATAAGGTAACACATTCACAGGGGACAGACGAGGACGTGGACCTCTTTAGGGGAGGAGGGACGTGACCAGCCGACCACAGGGGGCTGCCGTGGTCCTCTAGGTGAGCACGACGGCGGTCAGGCCACGTGGTAAGGGGTGGCGGGACCGTGACTGTCCCGAGGACGGAGCCAAAAGGATGTGCCCACATGTCGAACCGGGGCTGTGAGGGAAAGAGGGAAAGGAGAGAGTTATGGCGGCCACTGAGACCGGAAGACCACAGGCGGAGCAGCCTGGCGAGGTGGGGAGGGCTGCGGGCGCTTGTTGGAGGCGAGGGGAGGGTAAGAGGCCCCTGAAGCCTCTGAGTGTAGAGCAACCGGCTAGACGGGGCTGAGGGGCTGAGGACAGGCGAGGCTCCCAGATGAGGGTGTCAGTGTGGGGGCATCAGTGAACGGGGCTGTGACGGGGCCACCTCAGGAGCGCGTGTGGACGGAAAGGGGAAACGCCAGGGCTGAGCGCCAGGCCGTGGCGAGGGTAACGGGGTGGGAAAACGGAGAGGGACCAACAAAGAAAGAGAAGCAGCAGCGGTGAGGGAGGGAGAAGCAAGAGGGTGAGTCTCAGAGGCTGAGGAGGAGGGTAGCTGGCTGTGCCCTGTGCCCACGGGTCCAGTAGGGCACGTCTACGTGACCCCTGGGTTTGCCACCATGGAGGCTGGTGAAGATCCTGGCAAGAGCTGTGCTAGGGATGGAGTCGTGCCCCCCACTTACAGCGGAAGCCCCACTGTGCCTGTGTTTGGATATAGCATCTAAGGAAGTAATTAGGGTTAAATCCGATAGGGTTAGACTCCCTATAAGAAGAGACAGCAGAGAGCTCACATGCTCTCTCTCTCCCCACCACGTGAGCATGCAGCCCTTGACAAGCCAGGAGGAGAGTTCTCACCCCCACCTGGATGGCCTGGAACCTTGACCTTAGACTTCCAGCCTCCAGAGCTGTCGGAAAATAAATGTCTGTGGCTTCAGCCCCCCAGCCTGTGGCATTTGAGTTATGGCAGCCTGAGATGACTAAGATAAGCTGTTTGGACAGAGTAGTGGGGTAGAGCCAGTTGGGAGTAGGTTCAGGAGTGGGGAAAACGTTTGGAGTGTAGACATCTCTTTCAAGCATGTCACTGCCAAGGGGCACAGAGAAGGTGGGGGAGCCGGTGGGCTTGGGGTGTTTTTAAGATGGGCCCACACGGAAGTGTGCAGAGGGGCTCGCTGACGGACTGGGAGGGCAGAGGCAGAAAGGGCTGAAGGGGCCTCCCCGAGCGGCCGAGAGGCAGCTGGCGACTTCAGCTAGGAGCCCAGGTGTTTTCCTTGGGTAGAGCACCTGACCCCAGAGGCCGAGGAACCTCGGCGGTCCTCCTCCTGTGGCCCCCACTTCTCAGAGCGCTAGAGAGCAAGCTGGGGGTGAGGGTGAGGAGAACATGTGGGCAACTAGAGGGGATTGAGGGGGGCAAGTGCACCAGGGAGGGCAGGACGAAGAAAAGTGAGGGAAGAGAGGAGGCCAGCCCCTGCCAGCAGAGAAAGATCTTGGGGATCTCGGAAGCCTGGGTGGTGGGCTGTGGCCCGGGCTCTGCACGGCCTCAGGGCTGGGAGGGATGTGAGCTCCGATGTCCCCAGGTGAGAACCAAGGCTTCCTGTCCGTGCCCTTACCTGTCTCCATGGCCTAAGGGAGCGCATGCGTGTGTCCGTGTCTGGGACCACGTGGAACCGCTCCAGATGGTCGCTCAGAGCTCCCTTGTGGTCCCACGGTCATCCTCGGATGCCCCTCCCATCTGCCCACAGGAGGCCCTGCCCTCTGCCAGGTGCCCTGCACCCCGTCGGTGCGGCGCCTCAGGGACCTCTCGCCCCCACCCACCCCAGCACCCCCCCCAACACACACCCTCCACGGCCAGTACCCACTGGACTAGGCCGCAGTGTGAAACGTGGGGGCGGCAGAAGGGGATTCCAAGGCACC